AGGTTTAATCATTTTAACCAAGCTATGAGGATTGAATATCCTATACCTCATTTCATGGATTTACTAGAACTATTTTAATCAAACTATGAGAATCAAATGTTTTAAGCCTCACTATACAGGTTTAATTATTTTAACCAAGATTTGAAGATTGAATTCCTAAAATCTCAATACATGGGTTAACTAGGACCATTTTAACCTGGCTATGAGTATTGAATGTTTTAAGTCTCACTACCATTTTAACCAAGATATGAGGATTGAATGTCTTAATCCTCACTGCAAGAATGAACTGGAACCATTTTAGCATATATATTAGATCAAATGTTCTAAGCCTCACTACATGGATTTTCTAGAACCATTTTAGTCAAGCAGTGAGTTCAAATTTTTTGTTTGCTTTAGCAAAATGCAAGTTACTTCTGCAACAGTACATTATTGTGAATTTATTGGTTTCAATGAAAATTTTACTGCATAATACTTGTATCTGTATAGTAATTTTACTTTAGTCAAGAAAGAATAATTAAAAACATTTGGAAAAATCATTGTAATATGAACTTCAAAAATATGTAGAATTATTCTTACATAAAAACAAGCAATTGGATTAATAATAAAATAAACTTATTTAACTGCAAAAAAGTCACATAAAACCAATAACACAAAATAAGTATAAACTTAGAAATTGGAGTGAAATAAAAATAGGCTGCATAAAAAAATTATTTATATTCAGGCCAACACTAAACTGACCTTTAACAATTATTTAACGCAAACTTTCAGCTAAATCAGATGGGAGTCAATCAGTTGGTAGCACTCACTACTTCAAGTATCTATCAATCAAATAGATTGACTATCACTCTTATAATGCACAAAAAGCTAAAAATGCAAAGTGTGTTTGACAGCAGTATGTCTCATACTTGAGACTCTTAGATCTACAGTCCGATACACTAGGTATTACAACATACTAGAGCCCTAATTTTATTAGTATTGAGCTAGCAATACCTTTGGATGGTCACACTAAAACTTAAAAAAGTTACATAAATTATTACTATGAACAACTCCAATAAAAATGATGTAAAAATGAAAATGCTGACAATACAATTTTCAATATATATATTGCTTGAAAAAAAACAGTTTTGTAAATGACTGTTAAAATATGTGATAACCTGTACCTCTAACTGTTGTTTCAAAGCAGCTTTCTTCCATGCTTTTACAGGATCAGAGTCATATCCACGCTCCACAAGTGTGCGTATCAAGTCTACCTTTTTCTTGTTTTCTTGAGAAAGAAAGTTTTTTCGTGAATACTGAAAATTTTACCATTCACAGAACGTGTCTCAATCTAGTCACAGTTATGTCATTAATGATCCAGTGATATACAGTATAGAAAGTTAAGCTTAAACAAATTCTTGCCATTTTTCTGAACTGTAGTAAGTTTCAATATATTTAATATTCCCCATTTTGTGCAGATTATCTCAACAATAAGCTTAGCTAATGGATTTTTGAATTACATTAATTTTGCTTTGTAGCTTTAATGCTTGAAACAGGGGTAAATAGGGTTACTATTCTAGGCAGATGAACATTTTTGTTGACAGTCACATTAGTTTTAGCTTGATTTCTAAACATGTGCACGAGCTGTATGTTGTAATTCATTGGAAATAAAGTCAAAATATACACAAACACAAATTATTGTTGAAAAAAACAAAGACTGTAACAATATACATTATACAATCATAGCAAATTTTTTCAATTAATACTTGAGAATCACATTTTTCATACAAACAATTTACAAGTCATTAAAACTTCTACTTAGAGGATTATCTAAGAGTTCAGGGTGTGTCAATTGGAGGTAGCCACATATTATAAAACAAAAACAAGTTTTTTTTGGTGTGGTCTAAAGAGCATATAACTGATGATGATTTATGATTGAACATTATTGTGCAATTTTTAAACCTAAGTATTTGCTAACCCTAACTATCTTTACCCAAATTTGTGTTGTAAAAAATATTGTTAAAACTTTCAAACCTAAATTTATATAGGTTTTGAAGTGCATGTAGTATTGATGCTAGTAATTTATTCTTCTCACTTACTTTATCAAATAAGATTATACAATATTAAGCTTCTTATATATTTTTTAGAGAAAGATCCCAGATTTTCAATGAATTTCAAGTCCCTGTAAGCCATTCAATGGTATGACAAGTTTACCACAGCATCCATGATTTTCTTTTCACAACTTACCTACAACAACTTTTCCTTCAATCTTCTCCAGGATGAACCGAGCTTGATTTTCAAGCTTATTTGTTTCTGCACCAAACATACCCTCAAGGTATGCCTTTCGTTTTGCATAATACTCAAGTCGAACAGTAAAAAACTCTGTCAGAATCTCTTGAGGAGATTCGTATTTCCTAAGAACACCGGTATGATCAAACAGTACCTATACAGTGCAGAAAAACAGAGAAAATGAGTTTTGTATTTAGTACTAATTATTGCCTAAATTTTCCATAAACATAACATTATTTTACAGTTTGAGAAGTCACCGTAACCCTTGGTCCCTTATATGAAACCACTGTGTGTAGTAAGTTAAAAATATCAGTAATTTCACTCTGTATCTGTAACATGTTATTAAAACTAGGGTGTAAGAGCTCTCTACTTCAACTCATATCCCAGGTTTACGTCATTTAACAATAACTCAAGATAAAAACTTCTTACTTCAACCCACATCCCAAGGTTAATTCAATAAAAGATGGTCATCCTTATACAAAATTCTAAAGGAAACCTTTAAGTAATATATAGCCTTTGAATTTTACTCCCTAAAAAAAACATTTTCTAAAATTTACATGTACAATGATTATACCAAATCAAAAAAATGAGAGATTTCATCAAAAAAGAATTCTACATCAAGTGTTGGCTGCTCAACTTTATTTCACTTATCTGCTAATGAGATTCTTTTAAACTACAAAATAATCTGGTTTCTAGCCTCGGAGTAATCAAGACATGAATTCAAACTACCTTTTTTTTTAAAAATGGCATTAACGCTTGAAAGATTAAATTTATAATTGCACTAACATATCTGAAAGAATGAATACAAAAATAAAAGCTCTTTCATACCATTGATGTTGTATTTACAGTGGACTGAAGCTTAAAGACTTTGTGTAGACCTTGGTGTTCAAGTTCAGCAAGTTTGTCCTCATTTATCGTTATCAGAAACTTTACAGTGGTGTCAGTGTGATACTCCTTGTAATCTCTAAACAGATGAAACACTACTTTCAAGAACTAGAGGAACTTCTATAATGTAGAAACTATAAATTCTAATTACATGTGACTATAGTACATATTTATTGGATAATTAAAAATGATGTTAATATTTAAACAACAACATGCAGTTTTTTAATTATCTGTGGACAAGAGTACTAAAAAACTTGACACATTTTGCCAAAAAAAAACTATCAAACATGCCAATGATGCCAAAATAGCTAGTAAACAGTATAATGTTCTGTAACAGAAACTCATCTTGCCCATAAAAAATGGCACTATTATATAAAAGACAAACATTTCAGTTTGGCTTTTGTAATCAATTATGATAGGTTTCAAGATATATTTTTCTCTGTGACTTTGACAGGAACAAATAAGAGCAGAGTAATAGTTTTTGAAAATACTAGTTTTTGTAATTTATTTTATTTAAGTTTAAATACTCAATCTAACTTTTAAAATTAGTTTTTTATAGCTTACTTGAAAGCAGAAAGCTTGATTTAAATATATTTGATATGAACAGATAATTATTAGCAAATTGGTATGCCATTTAATTGTACTAGTTAACCATGGAGTGTCAAAATCTCATTGCCCCAGCTTTTGTCATTATCTTTAAGTTTATGTTTAATGATATCATCACATATCTGTCTTCATACCTTAACACTAGCTTATCAAAAGAATATAAAAATATTTGTCTCTACAATTTTTATAAACATATTAATTTTCTTTGTGGTTTTAGGATAAGTCTCCAAGGCCTAACTTAACATGAGGTAATCTTAAACTTAGCAATACAATAAAAAAAGAATACATAATTTGTAAAAAGCATGTCATATGTTAATAACAGACATGTAAAATTCTTAACAATCAGTACAGTTTATTAAACAGTCAGTGATATTTGTTACTTATCTTGTCAACACATGCAAAGTAGTTGCCATAAATACAGATATATAAAATTACTTTGAAACATGTAAAGAGACCTATTACATATACAAATCATAAGAGGAAACATAGAAGCCTGCCATAGCTGGTCAATCCCAGCCATTCAGCAGCAGTAAATCTTTTCTTAATGCCATCTACAGCAGCTATTTTTTTTTGTTTACAAAGAAAAGATAGTACAAAGGCAGTCAAATATTAACCCTTTGGACACGATTATGTCCAATTGTATATCATGATTTTTTTAGTTACATTCAAAATCTAAACTAATTTACTACCAGTCAATAAAGTTGACATAAAAACAGTTAATAAATAAATCAAATTTTAGTATTGTGTAAGTTTCAATTTCTTAATTTCAAAAGGAAATATTTAAATAAAAATCTTCACTTGTCTGTATCATGTGACACTTCTTTACTCTGAAATGCCCATTTTCAATTTTCTAATTACCCCAATATGATGTCCTGAATTTATAATAAATTATACATTTATAGTGTTGATATTACTAATGCATAGCCTTATCTCATAGCCCCCAATTTTTTTTGTACAAAGATATAAATCCTATCTTTCACAAAATCTTATTATAATGGAGCTTCTGATGTATACGTCCAAAACCTGGATCTCAGAAACTACAGCACTGATCATCACCAATCATAACTGGGTAACGCTTTTATAACTAGGTAGTATTTTTATAGTTGAGCAATAAATAATACAATTGAAATTTCCAAAAAAATTAAATGTTTCAGATTTAACTAATAAAGATTACAAACCAAAAGGAGTAAGTTTCAGATTTAAGCAATAAAAATTACAAACAATAAGGAGTAAGTTTCAGATTTAACTAACAAAATTTACAAAAAAGGAGTAAGTTACAGATTTAACTAATAAAATTTACAAAAAAGGAGTAAGTTTCAGATTTAACTAATAAAAATTACAAAAAAGGAGTAAGTTTCAAATATAAAACAATCAAAAAACAAACTTAAAAAATTATTTGTTTTTTTTTAGTGAAAACTAATGCGTGTTACAAAAAGAAAAGCAAGGCACGTTCATTGATAACTGCATCTACAAAGAAATACTTCAATAAAATCTATTCTGTCATGTAATGCTGTGATTATAGCTCATTTCTAAACTAAAATTTCAATAAATCCTATTTATCCTATGGTGAACATTATTGAATGTAAATTTTTTGTTGTAGAACTGTCAGACAATTCCAGAAAAGGCCGCAGGCCCAACAGCTTTCCACAGGAACAAGCAGTTATACCTGCCCGGAGGGTGGGTATTTCTGCTAGTGTTAATAATTCTCTCTAACACTTGATAACCAATATAAAGATCAGGTTTTGATTTACTGAATTCCATGTAAAGCTAACTCATTCTGAGAACAGTGCTTTAAATAAGTGGCCCACAGATTTATTATTACATTATTACAACATGTGAAACAAATACAATTTAGAATGTAAATGAAAACATAAGTTTTTCTCTTTCACATTATCAGCCAGGAAAGTTAAATTCTTTGAAGGTCATGATTAGCAAGTAGAACAGTTATTAAAATCGATTTACAATGGACAATGTGTTTGAAGATTTCAATCCATAAAGTACATAAGTTTTATCAAGTCTTGATTAAACAACAAATGAAGAAGAGCCATGTATGTATCAAAACATTTCTCCAATGATGAAAGTAACCATCCAGCATGTTGTCCATTATAAATTCAATTTACCAACAGTTCAGTAATTTATTTCTACATACATTATTATGGGCTTTGTCTTCTCTGTACCGTGAACCATTGGCTCCAGAACTTGTTCTTTGTAAGACTGAGTCCACGTACGAACTGGTAACTCTGTTATCTCCAACTTGTTTGTTCCCAAGATAGCTACCTCACCACTTATTACAAAACGCTGGCTGTCTAACTGTTCTATTGAGCCACGGAAATTTTTGAACCATGGTTTCTGTTCAGGAGAAAATACAAAAATTCTTCATATAAACTTGTTTTCCTTTTCACAATGAGACACAGAGAAAATAGTCAACAAAATCTTTATGTATGCAACAATATTTTAATATCGAATTCTCACTAAAACTACTGCTGTATATATGTTGACACAAAAACTTATCCAAATGCTACAAGAAGATAATCAGTTCTCCTCATACAAAAACGTTATGTGGAGAATTGATTATCTTCTAGTAGCATTTGGATTAAAAACTTATCCAAATGCTACTAGAAGATAATCAGTTCTCCACATACAAAAACTTATCCAAATGCTACTAGAAGATAATCAGTTCTCCACATACAAAAACTTATCCAAATGCTACTAAAAGATAATCAGTTCTCCACATACAAAGAAATTAAAACTGTACACAACGAACTACCTCACATTCCTCATGACAATAAGCTTTGCTAAAACAAATGTTGAAATACCAGCATATTACACCGTTCACTGAAAATAACTTGATAAACTGTTGTTTTCTATAAAGTACATAAGTATTTACAGAGAGAAAATTGTACATGTATTCTATGTATCTACATGTACTTACTTCTACAGACAAACACAGAAAATTGTATATATAATGCATTTATCCACACACACATATATATACGTATAATCCCCTGGAATTCTGCTCATGACACCACACAAAAAAATCAATACACTTAAGAACCTCATAAACACAGCCACAAGACTCTGTTCAAATGACTACATAAATGAAGAAATCAACCACGTAAAGCATTCCTTCATTCACACCAATAAATTTCCCCACAACTAAACTCAACTCAGGAACAAAATTGATACTAACAAATCCAACAACAGAATATTACACTGCAGTTTATCTTCTGTTCCTGAAACCAGCTCAAGAATTACCCACACTTGGACAAAACTAGCCATTAAATGCAATATTACTGTCAACGTCAAATTCTCTCAAAAACCTGGCCCTAAATCAAAATTGTTATTAAACAAAAATTATTTAGAATCACACAATACCAACATCATTTACAAAATAACATGCAATAACTACCCAGAATTCTACATTGGAGAAACGGGAAGAAAATTGGAAACCAGATTCATAGAACACAATAAAAAACCGTCCCATGTTTTCCACCATTGCAACTCAAAAAACCATAGTATATCTATTAAAAATACAGTAATTTTAAACAAAGAACCAAACATAAACAAAAGAAAAATTTAAGGAATCCATCTTAAGTGAACAAAACAACCCAAGGGTGCCAAGATACCTCTTCTAAGTCTTGTAACAGTATCCGGTCATGTGACTTCTTTGTTCAATACTCTATATATATATATATATCTGTGTTAGTGTAAACTACTTGTACCTGATGATGACAAAACCTTGTATATTTGTTGTTATGTTAATCTTATATTAAAGCTTTTCTTCATTACCCATTCAAGTCGTTTCCAAGCATTATACGTATAGACAGAAAACTTGTGTACATATATGTATACATGTACAGAAAGAAAAATTTTGTTATACTGCATGTATTTACATATGTACATAGATTAAAACAAAGAGAAATCTGTGTACATGTACAAACAGAGAAAATTGTATGTGTATTGTGTGCATCCACATATGTATGTATATGTACACTGAAAACTTCACATACATTTAAATAACACTTAACCATTATCAACAAACACTGTAATAGCCTAATATTGTAACAGTATCTCCACAAAACATAATCATAACACGAGGGCCCAAAGTATATCCTTAATTCATGTGGTGATTATAATGTCAAATGAATGAAATAATTTAAATAATTAGAAAAAAAAAGAAACTCTAGTCTTAATTGTCAGTTTTGGGATTCCTGATAAAATTTATATTCAGATGGTGGAAATCATTATATTTTTCACCTGTGTAGAGAAAACTTGTCAATAGATGAAACAAAACCAAGAATGCATAGATATATAACAGCTCTGAAGCTTATTTTGAGTTAAAATAATTTAAAAACAGTGAATTTTTGAAGTTAGTGACATCAAGCACTTCAAAATTGCACTATCTGCATGTTTCATGTTATAACTTTCTTGATTCTAAAGTTGTCCAAATCATAAATATATCATCTGAAACCTTGGATTATTTTTTTACAGTGCTTCCTTCCTTACACAGGTATACAAGAATGTAAAAGTTGTTATAACACTTCAAGTTGACTGGATACGTTTGTAGATTGTACGGGAGTTTTTGCTGTTATGTCTGTTGTTTACAAGCCATGGAAAGATACTTAATGAATTTCCCTACATGTTTATTTATTCTACTGAAGCAACTGTCTTGGCATTTAATTTTTTATATACAATTAGTTCTGAAACTAGAGTCCAACAATGAACATTGGAACTGTACTTTGCCATTGGTCAAAAGGTAAGTTATGATATATTATTAAGTAAGATATATTATTATATGTAGATCATAAGTATATTTTATGTATAAGATAGCATGAGATAAAAAATATCTTTTTACACAAGTTTGAATACCTTAAATGACTTTCTATTGCACCATTCATTTCAACAAGGTGGCATATTATACATATCACTAGGCCTACTTATGGTATAAGTATCAACACTCATTACCAGTTTAGCCATTATGCATGGCATGCACAATAACTTTTCAAATATCAGTTTTGATTATATTATATTCTGTATTGTATTATTGACCAACAATATCAGATTTATGTTTCAATAGGGTATCATAGATATTTTCATGTATTTAAAATGTCTGTGTTAGATATGCAGTGATGTTTATAAGTTATGCTTATTAATAAAAAAAAACTTAAAAAAAAACGGGCAAAATACCAAATTCTGGCACATATAGGATTAAATGGAATGCCTCTTGGTGAAGCTCACAAAATATGAAGGATCTGAAATGGCTATTGGTTGGTTGTTTTTTGGATATCTGTACAGAGCTACACAACGGCTACCTGTGACAATCCTTAATTTTGAATTGATAAAACAGAGAGGACACAGTTACTCAACAACTACTGTAATTAAACAGTGTGAGTTGCCCATCATTCTTATAATGCACCTATGACCCCACGGAGAGGAGAGCAATTTTGTGGCAATGGGACACAAACTGAGGACCCTTGGATTCACAGCCTGGCATGCCAATTACTAGGCCACACTTGACTCACTGCTATAACAAATTTTATTTTGTGTATTACAACATTAGAACATAGTTTGTTTATTTTGTGTCACATTCAATAGTGGTTACTATTTTCTTGACAAGCTAGAAAACAGAGTATAGTTTTGACACTGGTATATAAGATGTTAGTCAAAGAATAGCCTAGCAATTACTATTTAAACAAATATCTATTAACCTTTAAATATCTGATTTGTTTACGTACCATTCATTACAGATTGGAGTCCACATATTCCATCACATAGAGTAATTTTAAGTTTTTGCTTTTCAGAACACTCACTATAAAGAACTGACCAACGAAACAGGTGAAATCACTCCTCTTTTAGTAAACTCACAGCAATAATTAATAGGATTAAGACAGTATTCTGAACTTTCTTTAATGCAAAATGTAGTTTATTATGAGACATTTCTATCAAGGTAAATAAAATAACTACCCATACCTACAAAATGTATCTTTATTAGCTCAATATTTCGCTATAACAGCTTTATCAGGATAATGATGGCTCTTAAAAAAAACTGTAATGGTGAAATATAGAGCTAATAGATACATTCTGGAGATATAGGTCATTATTTATTTACAGTATTCTTTGACATTTTTATTGTGCTCCTCATATGTTACTGGAGATAACATTAATGGACAGACAAACAATTTGGTGTAAAATCAGTTTAGATAAATGTGTTAAAAAATACATCAGGAAACCCAAAGCAATAATTAGTGGGATTAATTTCAATAAAGGCAGTATTTATTTACATTCATTTTGTGTGGCTCATGTTTTTAAGAGGTAACAGTAATTGGCAAGAAATTCAGTACAAAAATAGCTTGGATAAATGTGTTTAAAAATCCATCAGTACTTCTAAAGTTAAGTAACAGATGCCTCTTGCATTTGCTAATGTGAAGTTGATTTCTTTAAACTCTAATAATAGGTTTTGTATTTACTGTGTTCAATAGCTTTCATATACTTTTGTCAACAGGAAAAATAGCAAGTAGTACTAAATCTATACATCAAGATAGAGATGCTATTCAAGACACTAATGTATAGTATAATCTTAATTATTTAACCTTCAAAGTTCCATATAGAGATGTACACATAGTATATACCATAAATTCTATACAGAACCAAAATGTCTATGTTTTCACCATGAAGCAATTCATATTCATTTCCCTTTATGCCCACTAGATCTTGCACAATCTCAAATACTAGAATGCTTTAAAAGAAATGCAATTAACCATTAAAATATATCATTTTATATGCCCTACTATACACTGTCCATGATTTCTTCCAATTATTGTATTACAGAAACATACATCCAAGTTCATATAACTCAGCACATACCATGAGTTTTGGTTCCTCTCCAACAATCATTCTACGGAGATTCTCTACTATTTCTCTGGGATTATAGTTTGGGATCTTAGTGCTCCATCCTGTTCCAATACCTTCTGCTCCATTCACCAAGATCATAGGGATTATGGGAACATAAAACTCAGGTTCAATCTTCTGGTTGTCTTCATAGAGATGATTCAAAAGAGGCTCATCAAGAGAAGAAAAAATGTGCTTTGCCAAAGGACTGCAAAAAAAAATAATAAATAAATAAGTAGCATCACAGTAAATACCATTTGTATACTAAACCTTAATCAAATTCACGTAAGATTTGTAAGAACTAAAGTTTTACAAAAAATATTATTTTCAATGAAAAAAGCAAACACACTTTTATGTTTTCACCAGGATAAACAATCTTGTCAGTCATTTGCATTTTGTAGTATGAAAATAATTAACAGTAATAAAATGAAAATAAACTTACAACACCTTAACAATTGACAAAAAATTATATTTTGCTTTCATCCAAACACTAACAGTTTCACTTCTCTTTACAATGATTACAATCATTGAATGGTTATAAGGAAAAATGTTAATATTTATATCATAAAAAAATCAAAATTTAGCTGCATAGCTAGTAAATAGTGACAGGTTAAAAGTATGATTTTTATTCTGCTTGATAAGTTAGGAAGGATAAGATTAAAAATGAGAGAAAAAAATTATACTAACTTTTTATAAAAAACAAATGTTCGGGGATAAATGGTAGAAAAACAAGGTATATAAAATACCACCTAATACGTCAAATATGAATGTATTTTTTGTTTTTTACATTTTCATCGATCTTGGTTCAAAATATTAAATGTTTTCTCACCATGAAAAACTTTAATACATATAGAAATACTTTTACCCATATATTTTGGAAGCTATACAATGAACTTGAGGAGGATCTTAATACTGAACAGTTGGTATCTATCAAACCTTACTGCTACAAGATGTCACTCTACACAATTTTATTATTCATAAACGTAAAATACAGAGGATCTTTATTATGTAGTTTTCCAAATGTTATTCACCTGAGCATCGTAAAAATGTATCGAGGGCTGGCAGAATCCTTTCCACCCTGCAGTCGAGTGCCAAACTGTCCAATGGGTTGCAACAAGTTGATGTTGTTGCTACCAACAAAGTTTTGTGCCAAGTTGATAATGGTTGCCATTAGAGAGTTCTGAAATAATAAAAGAAGTTTCAATACTATACAAATACCAAAAAATTCCAATTTATGTAATGACAGGTAACAAAATTGACTTTCAACCAGGATTTTTAACAGCTTTAATTAACCAACTGTGAAAAGTGTAATCGCAAAAAGTTATTGGGTAGTTGTTACAAGAATAAAGATTACATCCTTTAATTCTCTTGCAAAAGATATGTCAAAGTACATGTGTCATGACCTTTATAGAGTTACATTCAAAATTTAATTAAACTACTATATTATCAATGTATACGAATAAACTTGGCATAAAACATAGTTATTATATCAAATTTTAATATTATAAAAGTTTTAAGTTCTCAATTTTATAAGGAAATATTTTAAAAATTCTCAATCACTCCTATTGTGAGAATCATGATATTTGTTCTCTAGTTCTTCTCCTTTTTCTAATTTATTTATTACCACTCCCTGAAGTATAGAATTTAACATGAGTTATTCATTATAATATAGATATTACTAAGGCAAAGTCTAATTTTTATAGCCTTCAATCTTATTCGTTTATGGAATCATAAACTAGAAAATCAGAACAACTTGCCACACCTATCTGTTACATCCTCTCTTTCATAAATTGCCAATAATTCTCTCCTACTTTTTATACTGTATCACTTATAACCAATAGAAAGGCAAAATTTTAATGTATCAAATGATATACAATACTATATTGTTTTCAATACAGAGTGTTGGCAATTTCATCTTCCCTTTGACAGTTTATCTCATGGTGTTCAGATAGAGGTATTTTGGGAAATAATTTATGACTCTTATGTCATCGTTAGAAAGCCAGTTAAATTATAATAGTTATAGGGCATTGTTTGCTTTAGGTATGTTATTATTCTGCATTTTTAAGTGCATTATTTAAGTAAATAAAAATCATTTAATGTACTGGTATAGTACAATCATTACAAAAACGTAGGCTTAAATTTCATAGGCAATTGACAGTAAGAAAAAAAAACAACAAAAACAACAAAAGATCAAACATAAGTACTATGTTTCTTGTTTTTCCATGTATATTTTTTTATTTATCATTATAAATTAAAATGTAAAAATTAGAAACATATTAGGTTAAATAATGAAAGATAATATTAATAAAAATTCTTCATGAGGTATTCTCATGAGCAGCTCTTGCATTATGTCATTTAATAAGATAACATGTAAGCTGAGTGATTTACAAATTGTGTGGTGGGATTATTAGTTAGACATGGTTCAAGGGGCAATAAAACAATCAAATTAAGCATAAGCAGATGTAGATTGTTACAAGCCTTAAATTACTCAGGATAAACAATTGTTGTTTTCTGTTACAACAGCAGTGATTCTAAAAAGAAAAAAGGTAACTCAGATTTATTTCATAATTTCTTATGGCAGTCCTAAGGTCGGTTAAATCGACTGAGTCTATATAGAGTTCAGGTAGAGTAAATAACAGATAAAATATACTTGCACTTAACAAAAAAAGTTTGGTATTCATCTAAAAGACTTTAGAAGTTATGTAAATAAAATATGGGCTTTTTCAGATGAAGCATTTTTAATCTTAACATGAAAATCACTTTGCACTAGGAGCAGCTAACACTCTGACTTCATATTTTCATGTGCAAATATTTAGTAAAAATACTTAATTAAAATCTGATTTTTTGTGTACAAAAGACTTCTAATATTTACTGAAAGCTTGTCAAGTTATGTAAAGATACACAAAACATATTAAAAGTTATAGTACAGGAACTTTGATGGTTACTTTGGGGTTACAGTGTTGGTCACATCAGCCAACCCTGTATGGAAAAAAGTTAAAAGTACAGCACTATAAGATACAGATTTATGTAAAAATCTGGACTATTTTGGTTTTAAAATTCACCAAGGAAGTTATTCTGTGACATTTTGCTACTCTAATAACTATACACGATTTCTTGCAAAATTGTTATCTCTAACACTTAGTTAAATATTCAGATTAAGTCATTCTTGTACAAATGATCTCATGTTACATAATACAAGGAATAAATTGCTGCATGTTTAATAGTTGTGAAACAAAAATATATCATCTTCCTTTTGTGTTTGGTAAGATCATCTCAAGAAGTACAAAATGAAAAAATTAACAAATGTGAGATAACAGGTAGTACTTCAAGTATTTAAAAACTACTCATAATTGCCGGAATTAATTCTATTATTCAAACATTTTTTACCAAACCGACTACTTTTATTTTTGACCTACAGGTCCTTTTTATTAAACACTGTTTAATTTAATTTAATTTTTTAAATTATAATGAAATGTAACTATAAATATATATATTAAATTTCCTAACTTAATAAATTCATTGTAAATTTCCTACATAATAAAATGAAATGTAATGATAAATATATGTATATTAAATTTCCTAACTGCAGAAACAGAAGTTAGGATAATTCACCTCTCCATGATGATAAGCAGAAAGCTCTGCCACAGATCCTGCGAATTGAGCAACTTTAATTTCACGTTTATCATTCCTTTTGAAGCAAGTGAAAATCACCTTCCTCTGTCCTGGTTTCAAACCTATATGAGAAATAAGGTGAATGAATATGAATATCTCACACACATACATATCTTTCCTTTCAAAACCCAACCATTGTGCTTGAAGAGTGTATATTATTTGACGACTGAAGGAGAGTTTTAATGTATAATGTTTCTAAGAAGTTCAGTATCATGTTTGGCTGTTGAAAGATTTTTAAAGTTAGAGAGAGAAATGTCCTGCATCTGTATTGTGCTGATAGATAGCATAGTTGGGAGGGTTTTATTGTCTTGAAATTCTTACATATTCAACAGTAATTCCTGTACGCTGAATCCAAAAATGATATCCATATTTTCCCATCATGTACAGATTTGTCACAAAATGTCATATGTACTTTTTACATAAGTGAATCATTTTCATTGAAATCGGGTCACATTTAATCATGCTTAAAATGTTGACAACCACTGGCTATAGATTTCTCTAGTCTAATCGCAACATGAGAGTGTTATCGATCATTTTAGAACCCACGAGAAACACTGCTAATATGTTTGTGCATGCACTCTGATATTATTTTTTATTTTCAATATTATTTATTCATTGCTAAGGCAACAAGATGTTGTGTAAATGACCCAACATATTCTGTTATATTTGTGGTAAGTTTGTTGTAAAGAAACAAAGTCAAAACATTACAAAAAAGCGTATTACATGTATTTTGGAATAAAACTTGAGGACAAAGACAAATCATGGACTAAAGATAAGAGTCTTTGCTTTTTGTAATTCCAATGGTCTGACGTGAGCCTAGAAACCACAGAGATGATTGCTATTTTTGCTCATGTAAAGTGCAAGACTACAACACTCGAAATAAAAAGGAAATTTCAAATCCAAACCTTCAATCTGCTATAATGCCTGTTGCTCATGGACCTGAAGTATCTGTACCCACTCCACAATAGACTCTTGATACAGTTTCATCTGATTCTGAATTTTATGTCATTAGAAATGATGATAGGGATTGCTTTCAACCTGAAACATCTGGTGAACCACAACTTTTCACACAAGGTGAACTTAATGATTTGGTGAGAGATCTGGGTCTTCCAAAGGATTCTTCAGAGATTTTGGGTCCAGAATTTGGGCTGAGAACTTACTTTCTCCAGGGACATCATTTTACTGGTACAGAAATTGTAAGAAAGAGTATATACCATACATTTGCAAGAAGGTTCACTGGTTTATTGCAACAATATTGTTGAATTTATATCAATGCTAGGAGCTGCAGTCTATGAACCAAGTGTTCATTGATTTCAAAAGAAGTCTAAAAGGTGTTCACCTTCACAATGGTAACATATATGCATCTGTTCCTATTGCTCATTCAGTTCACTTGAAGGAAATGTACAAAAATCTCAAACTTCTTCTTAATAAGGTCAAATAAAAGAACATGGTTGGCTACTTTGTGGAGACTTAAAAGTCCTTTGTATGTTGTTGGGTCAACAATCTGGTTATACAAAGTTTCCAAGTTTTTTGTGTGAATGGGATAGCAGAGCACAAATTTAGCACTGGATAAGGAACCAATGGCCATGCAGAGTCAGCCTGATACCAGGATAGAAATACATTGAACATGAAAGTTTGGTTGACACAAAGAAAGTCCTGTTACCTCCACTTCACATGAAACTGAGTTTGATGAAGCAATTTGTAATGGCCTTAGACAATAATAGCAACTGTTTCAAGTATCTATGTGGGCAATTCCCAGCTCTTTCAGAAGCAAAACTTAAAGAAGAGATTTTTGTTGGGCCTTTGATTAGGAAGTTAACTTCGGATGAACAGAGCGAAAGGACAACGAGGAAAGTTGAAAAAGAAGCGTGGATTGCCTTTAAAGATGTTGTTGACAAATGTTTAGGAAAACAAGGACCCAAATTACGAAAATATTGTCAATAACATGCTCGATAAATTCATAGAGTTGAGTTGTAATATGATCTTGACAGTTCATGGTGCCATCAGAGAAGAACAAGGGGAAAGGTTTCATCACAACATCAAGGTAATGGAGAGGAGGCATCAGGGAAGGTGGAACATTAGCATGATGGCTGATTACTGCTAGTCATTGAAACCAGATGCAATATATAAAAAAGAAAGACCACAACATGTATTTTTGAGACTAAAAGACGTAGATTTCACACAAAATTCAGGATCAATGAGGATGCTTGTTTGTTTGTATTTTTGTTAACAAACATGATAATAGAAAATGCTCATTGTGGTAAATGAAATAATAATTTGATCTAATTAAGAGTTTTTTTTTCTTCCCAATTTGTAAAAAACCCTTACATGACAGAAAAAAATGAATATTATTTTTGAAATCTGCATAGTTGTATTATAGAAGATCTGTTATTAAAATCAAAACAACTTTTATGAAGTTTAAGTATGCAGGCCTGGGTTATTAATCATCATTTATATACAAAGTTTAAGTTAGCTGCATATTATTCATTACAGCTGCTTTGAAAAGATCACTGAAAGAATAATTTACTGGTGTACAAAAAATACTTTTAATATTAAATAAAATGTTTTTTGTAAACTATTCCTATTAAAAACTTACCATCAACAAGGGAAGGAATAGATCGTTCATTGTCCATGTTACTAAACAAAATAAGCTCTTTGTTGATGAAGTCATTGAACGTTAAGTGGCTTGTAGCTTTTCCATAAACATACAACTAGTAAGAAACAAATGAAACACTTGTATCATCATTTTAACTTACTTTATTATTAACATCACTATAAAGTTAAACAGTTACTCTGAATTACTTTTCCAAATTTGAAAGTTTTGAAAATAAAAAGTTAATACAGAAGCACTAAAACAAAAAAACTCTTCAATTCCTTTGCTTACTTAAACACTGATAATGTTTTTTCTCCTGCATAGAAACATAAAACATATATTTACTTGTTAGTTTTCATGTGTTTATTTTGACAGATAAACACAGGTCTTGGCCAAAAGGCCTTTTTAGCATCGGATATAACAGATTTAGTGTGGTTTACATATTGTTAGACATTTTTTTATATTTTCACTCATAGGTTCTTTTGAAATACTTATGTAGCCTTCTCCCATTGACACTGTGGTTGCATGACTTGCTCCAGGAACAGTAAGACTATACTTGCTGGTTTGCCATATGTTTTGAATGATGAGTAAAGTAAAATTCCCTTAATAATAATTAACACTGTATTATTAATCCTTATCCTTATTCTCATTTGTAGATGACTCACAGACTGGATATGACAGATATACTACGGTTGGCATATTATTATATGTTCTTTTTTACTTTAGCTCATGAATTCTTCAAAGGAATAACTTCATAAATTTCAGATTTAGTTTCTTATTAAACTAACATAAAAAATAAATTGATAAAGATCTAACTTAACTGGGATGTCTATTAATATTTTACTTTTTATACAAATTATACTTAGCTAATTGAAGAAAAGTTCAGGATAACACTAAAAACTATCATAATTAAACAATTCATACCTCAGGCAGCCCCAACTCCCGACGGTGTTTCCTTTCTTCCATTCCATTGGTAAGCCATTCCTTTCTCTGTTCAACCATCTTCTTACTGAAAGCCTGAAGGAATGGAAAATAAGCTATCAAAAAGATAAAATGCTGTGTCTATCATTTATTGCTTCTGTAAATAAATACACTAAAAACATGAAACTTTTGGTAAATTGGATTTATAATGAACAACCTCCTTTAAGATTTCTTTGTTGAAGATGATGTTTTGAATCACCATGAACTGAAGAACATCCATGAAAGTGTATCAAAACATAATTTTCAACAACAACTTTCTGCGGGTAGTCAAGTCCATTTTATGATTGACCCACCTACTAACCATAATGTACAAAGATATTAAACATCTATCTTTGAACTGTTACAAAAGTTTAAAAATCACTAGTCAAGCAGAGACCATACACACACACTAACTTGTGTTTACTAGCTGTCATGATATAAAAATACTGGTTTGTGTAGGTATTAATTTATTTATTTTGTGAGTGAATATTTCATGATTGTTTAATTTTTCATAACAAGGGAATTAAAAGCAATTATTTTAAAGTAAATGTTATGACAAGTTTAGTTACGTAACTCTGTAAACATTGTACATTGTGTTTATAATTCCTTAATGTTGAGACTATCGAACGATGTGTAACATTTATTGATATCAAGGATATAGAGATTTCTAGAAGGTGAGCAGATGATCAAGTGATAAATATATAAATAGTGAGACAACTGGAAACAGCAGACAAACAGAGCAGATGAGAAAGTAGTCATGGGAAGTAGAAGTTCGGCCAAAGAAAAGTTAAATGTAAAGTTAACTGCCATAGGAGTGAAAGGCCTAACGTTTAATATAGGCCTAATTATTAATATGTTAGAGAAAAACTATCAGTTTTAAAATAGATAAGTATAGCATAATCCGTCAAAGCGAGTTCTAAAGTAATTGAACCAGCCCAAGTGCACTTTGATAAAAGGAACAGACAATAGCTAACATACGAGGACCAGACGATTACTGGAAGAGCAGTATACGACTGTGGTAACTCACGCTATAATTAGAAGTGAATTATACATAGAATACTAGTGCGACAGAAATAGAGAAAAATAGTTCTGCTTGTCAACTGGAATTCTAAAGCAATTGAATAGGTCTAAGTGAACTTTTGACAAGAAGAAGAGAATTATATATAGTGTTTATGATATGTCTATAATATCTATAGCATAAAGAATTTGTTGTACATACGTTTAACATTTTTGCTCGAGTTATTAGGTTGATATATATTCTAGGTGACTATGTTATGCATAATTATAGATGCCACCATACATTTGATCTTAAACTTAAATCGTTTCTGAATTAAAGTATTTTCTGTTATATTACCAACATTTTTAACAAAAAACAAACCTCTTTAATCAATGGAGACTTTAAACAAAAATATCAACAAATAATTTTCCAGTTTCGTAGTTTATACATTTCATTTTATACTTTCAGTACACAGACTAACAACAATATTAGGTTATACTTTTGTTGCTAACAGTGCATTCCAACATAAAAGCCATTGTTGGAACACACTGGCTTTTCTATATATTAGATGTTGTTATATAAGGAACCATTTCTTTTGTATGTGGTTTTTTGCTAGCTTGCCTTATTAAAATAATGCACCTGCATGTGGATAATATAAGTAATAATACCCAGGTGCACATGCTCAGGGTCCACTTATTATGGGTGCACAATTTCAGGTTTTTAGGTTCTTTCTTCTTGTAGCTATGGAGGAACATTTTTTTCTATGTGGTTTTTCACATAAAATGATCTGCACAAGAAGTATATGTAATAATACCCAGGTGCAAATCTCCAGGGTCCACTTAGTATGGGTACAAAAGTTCAGGTTTCTAGGTTCTTTCCTCTTGGAGCTATGGCAATCACACATACACAGACATGCACGTGCACTAACACACAGGTGTGTGTCTGTCTGTGATTTCTATTTGTAATATAAGGACTAGCTTACCTCATTAAAAAGATGTACCAATGCACGCACTTGGATAAGATAAGCAATAATACTCAAGTGCACACCCTCAGGATCCACTTAGTATAGGTGCAAAATCTCAGGTATCTAATCTCTTTCCTCTTGGAGCTATGGCGGTCACAATTCTTTTCTATGTGGTTTTTAACATAAAGAGATGCACACACAGTATGGGTGCAAAATTTCAGGTGTCTAGGTTCATTCCTCTTGGAGCTATGGTGGGCACATTTTTTTCTATAACACATATACACCCAAAAGCGGACCCTGAAGGTTTGCACCTGGGTATTATTACTTATCTACATGCATGCATTTTTTGTGCAATTTTATATGTGTAAAGCCTTAGCAGTCAATAGTAAGGGTTTTAAAGTGTTGTTTGAATTGAATCTTAAATGTTTAAGGTGCTTTTTGCCCAAACTTTCTATTAGGGTTTTGTGCAATTCACTGAGATCCCTATTATCTTCACTCTAATAGCACGAGAAAGTAAGATTTCTGATAACATTCTATCGTCTTCTCTTCCCATTTCATAAGTAACAGTTCTTGCAAAATGTCTGCACCTACCAGCTGGATAGCACTATCATCATCAGAACCTTCATACTTAAACTTGATTCGATGCCGTGCCATGTCAGCAAAATATTCTCTGGCTTCCTTTGCTGTGCTGGTACCAAGACCTGTGAAAGAGGTTCACAGGTAAAATATTCTGATATTTAAGTGAATGTTTATGCTTCCATCACAAAAAATAAAACACACAAATTTGAACTTACAAACAGGTTGAAATACATTTATAAGGGTTTAATTTCATAAATTAACAACAAGTAGCATCCTAAATAAACATAATTGAACATCAGGAATAATTAATACTACCACTAAATCTTGTATACTATTGAGTGGATGTGGTTTTTTTAACATAGTAGTGTTTTATTTTAACATCAACTAAAGTACTTACAATCTTAAAATTTGTTGCTTAACATTCTACATTACTCAAACTTTGATAGAATTGTTTTTTTAAATTAAGAACTGTTTTCTCAGTATTAGAGAGTATCTTAAATATTATATGAGGCTCCTAAAAATATGTTATTATCTAGTTTTACTGTCAAATTACAAGTTATGTATTAGATTACACATGAACCTTATCAGCTTGCACCTGTCATGGTTAATTTATTTACAAGCTATGAGAAATCAAAGGAAGATATGAGTATAACAAAAGAAATATATGTAACAATATGTTAACATATGTAAATTTGCCATATCTATCACAAAAAGGACTCTTGTTAACACTATCACCATGGGTATCCTTTACTGCACATGACACAAGGTTTTAGTGTCTTATATTTAAAATTATATTAAACTATTTTTTGTTTATGTTATACCAACTAGAATAGCATAAAATCTTAGCTAATAATTCATATTTTAATAGTATATAAGTTTTAAGTTCTTAATTCTACAAGGAAATATTAAAAAAAAAAATCCTGAATTTCCCCCTAGTGGATGCATGTGATGCATTTTCTCTTAGCATGTCATCTTCCCTATTTTATCCACCACCCCCTTGAAAAAGTATGAAATTAAATTTAAATTACTCTCTATAAAATTGTCATTGGTCAGACAAACCATAATTTTTATAGTCTTCAATTTTGTTTGGTTACAGAGCTATCGAATAGAAAATCAAACCCCTCTTGCCATGCCTACCTGTCACATCCTCTCTTTCAGAATTCATTAATGGTTCTCACTTACATTTAATTATACATATATTACTATTACTAATAGAAAGTAAATTTTTCCATCTATCAAATGACATATTGTATAAAATTATGCTCTGAATAGTTAAATGTCAATTTCACTCAGAGTACCAACATCATTCCCATGAGAAACTTAACAACTAGCTTGGATGAATTTGTAACGACTCTTGTTGCATAGTTAGAAAGCCAGAATACTTTTGAGTGGTAAAGGAATTTGTCTACTTTTTGCATGTTATTACTCTATATTCTTTGGTGCATTATTTAATTAAATAAAAATTATTAAGTGCATTACTATCATTAGTATAAAATAATTAGGGTTAACTCTCTTCGACAATCGATAGCAAGAAAAAAGAAGATTGGTTAAGTATTATATTTCTTGTTTTTCATGTTAGTTAAGATTAGATTAGGTAAATAAATAATAATAATATTATAATAAAAATGTTTCACGAGCAGAAACAGTGTGTCCATTAGTGTAACGTGAGCTGCACATTCCCTGAGTGATTTACAACTTATAATGGCGCAGATAGTTAGACACAGTTCAAAGGGCAATAAAATTTAATTATAAATAGATGTATACTGTTATGAACTTAGAACTTAGGATAAATGAATGTAGTTTCATGTTACAATTTGAAGTCATTCTGCAAAGAAAAAAGGTAATTTAGATTTACTTTGATTTTTTTTTTTTGGTGGTTACGATTCCGTTTTGAGATAGGGTAGAGAAAATAACAAAGAAACTATAAAGTTTTACTGATATAAAACGTTTGAAATGCATTTAGGAGGATTTAGGAATTAAAAAAAAGGAAACTTGCGATCTCTGAAATGAGGAAGAGTATTTTTAATTTTAACACGAAAATTACTTTGCACACGGACTATTCAAAACAAATACTCAATATATTCATGGACAAATCTTTATTTTATTTTATTAAAAATACTTCGCTAAAAGTGAAAGACATAATATTAACTGAAAGACAAATTGTGTGAAGATATACACACTCTATTGAAAGTTAGAAGTATTAAATCTACAAAGACTTTAAATGAGTACAAAGAGGTCACATGGTCGGTTAGATTAACTGAGCCTATGTTGAGAGACTTATTACAACTTCCTAAATATGGTTCTCTGTTTGGTGGAGATGTCCATAAAGACTTTTCTTTAAAGTTTGGTGTATGTTGATTATCAGTAGGGTGGAGTTTGTTGTGAAAATATTTTTGAAGTCTTAGTTTTCTAGAGAATTGATGAAGATCAGAAAGAAGTTCGGGCTCATTAACATAGCTGTTATTTAAGCGAAAATTGAGACGTTTACTAAGAAGACTGAGTTCTGCTTCAGAGAGAGTTATATCTGAAAGATTAACAATGTTAGAGATATGTGGGGAGTCTTCATCATTACCTGTATGATTTATGAGGTCACAGTTATTTTCAACAGATTTGTTAGTATGAGAAGGCTTATGTGTATTAGAGTGTGAAGTGTTTTTAAAAATTTTGTTAAGCTGTTCATTGTGAGCTAAAGGGATTTTGATAGTTTCTGGTAGATTGCTGGGTGCTATGGTTGTTTCTTTATGATAAACAAGAGGATTCGTGAATTGGTGTTACTGGTAGGTGCTTTGTTGTTCTTTTTAAAAAGGAATGTATCAGTTCTATTTGTAAAATTTTTATAGTTCTTCTTTTTCTTCCAGTAAAGGATTGTACAGATGATAATAGTGGGAAGTTTCTTTATCTAGAATATCAACAGAATTTTCAAAGAAGATTTTGTGATATTTATGAGTTATAAGTAGGTGTTTTCAAGGATCATATGCTCTTATTGTGATTGGTGCTTTTAATGAAAGAGATTGAGGTATGTTTCGGTTTTTTATGTTATACACTAGTGACTTGGCATGTTGATAATGTCTTTTGATTTCTCAGCGAGTTTTCTAAGTTTCTGAAATAGTTGTTTTCTGCTGTAGTTGAGTAATTTGCCACTTGGTTCAGGTTGAGTGTTGACAGATATTGGTGTGAGGACATCACTGTAATTGTGAAATAGAGGGTGGGGAAGTTTATGGGAAGGAAGAGAGAAGTAGCTGTCTTCTTCAGAGTGTGTATCACACATTGACGAAGTATAAACAGTGCATTGCTGGTCATTATGAGAGTTGATGCTAACAGATGAAGAACTACTGTGTTCTAATGAAGGTAATTCTACAAGAGACAGATCGACTGGTAAAGATTGTATTGTGGTACACTAATATTGATTTGGTGTAGTTTTGGAGATAGGGAGTGGAAGTGTTTGAGAGTAAAGAAGAACGAAGAGCAGAAGCATAAAAAAAACGAGTATTGCTTCTTAGGGAAGTGTGATTTATGTTTAGTCCCCTAGCAGAACCTAAAGAAGAACTTGGAGGATCAATGTGCGAGAGTGAATGAGTTTTTAGTTCGGTAGAATGAGTGATAGAGATATTATTGTGTGAGATGTTGGTAGCTTCGGAGATAGGGAGAAATGTAAAATTTTGACAGGGAAGAGTAGAAAAACTATTAGAATCAGAAATAAGAGATGATTAAAACTTAGATGAGGAATACAAGAATAGGAGAATGCTATGGGAAATACAGTATTTGAAGTTTGAGGCCAAGGTAAAAATAAAAAAGTTAAGGTGAAGTCCATCTCGTGTGAGAAAATTAGTGAATAGTATTAGGCTTGTGTAGTTAATGAAGGCAAATAGGGGGTTAAGTCTGCACATGCGTTTGGTTAACTCATTAAAATGCTGAATTTTATTGTTGAGTTGTTTAATTATTGTGCTGTTTTGTGTGTGGCAATCAGAGGAAACGTGTATGTTCACATGTCTATAGATTATACTACAGACAGCCAGTTTAATGTGTGGTCTGAGGCTGAAGATATGTGTTATTGTGTTTTCAAGTTCTTCAGTAGTCTTATCAGATTGTTTCAGGTCTTTAGTGCCAAAGTGAATTACCAGAAATTGGACAGATTCAGGAAGAGAAGTGGTTATAGCTATGCAGTCATTTATTTTTGCTCCACTGATGAATTTTGAAAGGAACTGATGTCCATTAATAAAAGTTAAGTGTTCATGTAGGTACTTGAGTAATGAATCACCTAAAATGCCCATGTTAGGTAATAAAAGAGTATAGTTACATGAATTGTGTTCATGTTTCTTGCATGGTGATACATTCATGATGTCAGAAAAACGCTTGTCTTTCTGACATCATCAATTTTTTTTTTATCAATATACACTAAATATTTATCGTAAAACAAGAACACGAATCAAAAACTGCCTTTGTACTTTGGTATATAATCAATATTGCAATGTTCCAACTATTCTGTACTATAAGTCACGTTTTTCTGAGTTAACTCTATGTGCATAGGGTCAGTCCATTTGACTGATGACATATTGGAGAATTAGTGTCTATTATAATTTTTCAATTTACAATATGGATCTTCATGTGAAAAGTGTTGTATGAAAAAAAAATCTGAATTTCTATTGAAGTATTTTTACTAAATATCTGTCTGTGAATTTACTGAATCAGTCTGACTCAAACTCTGATAAATCTGAATGTAAGGTGAATGTCATGTTAAAAATAAAAATACATTTATTCAACAGCTTTCATAATACGTTTGCATAACCTCTAAAACCTCCTAAATAAATATCAAGTTTTTTGGCAAAACTGTATATTCTACCCACTGTTTTGTGTATGCTAACACCAGCTGTAGCAAAATCACAATCAACGTACAGTGAAATGAAAATTTGAAAAATATGAAATAAAATGAAAAGTACCTTTTTCTTTTCTTCTTCCCTTGTTTCATGTTCTTCTTCAAAAATTTCAACTGTTAATCTTATCATATCTATTTCCTGCAAACCTATGGTTTCATTGTTATACTTAGTATGTACTTGAGCACTAATCCTCCCATCCAAAACAATAAACACAGCAGAAGGTAATCAGTCATGGGTCATAAACACTGGAAGTGAAGAATGTGACCCACATGATCTTTGCAACTGCAAACCATATTTGAGCTAAGCCTCACTTTCTCTACCAAATTACTTCTTCATTTAAAATCTCTTTGAGCTTTCTCATATAGATTTTAGAATGCAAAACACACATCAGGCACTAGAACTGAATATCCTTAAACAACTTATAGTTTTGCTGGCTTTCTTAACTAAAGTTAATAAATTAACTTTCCTGTTTGGAGCAGAAAAACATAATTAATGAAACTGAGACCAAATATCTACTCATGAGTGCCAAAAGCAACCAGCCTCCTAATAAATTTTGTAAAGAAAAATCTACTCTTTCTATTGTTATAAATAATCCAATAGTAAATATTTGAGAAAATTACTGACATTTATTTAAAGATGAGATAGGAGGGGTGTGGCATGTGGGTTTTACTTTATATATATATATCCCAGTAAAGCAAGATGCTTGGAAGCTAAAAATTTATATTGTGACTTGCCAATATCTATAGCACAAATGTGTAATTTATGGGACACTCAAAAGATCGTATAACAGCAGAAAACAAAATTTAAAAATTGCAAGTTGGATATTGCAGATGCTCCACGTGATGCAGAGAAATGAGAATGGATAATTTATCTAAATATTTCCCTTTGAAATTAAAACTTTGAATTATAAACGTTATATTGTCTTACACTGAAAGTATATTTCCAATAGATACTTATCTCTTGTTACAGTTACTCTCGATTTGATTGTCTTCTAGTGTGCAAATTTTCACTTGCCACTAGCCTTGAATCTCCACCTAATTACAAGTGTATATCATGTGGTTCAGCTGCATTTAAACATGTGACAACCTTCCACCAATAGGAGTACAACATACCCTCCCTCTCTGTAGTTGAACCTAATCTTCACTTTGAGATTAGGCATGAAAAACAACACCGGAAGTGGAAAGTGTAAGTGGAGGTAAGTATTTATCAGAAATATAATTTCTGTGTAGGAAAATATTAATTTCTGATATGATTACTTACCTCTTCTCACAGTTACAGCTAGAATCCCACATTAAGCAGGTGGAAGAACCAGTGTAAAAATCACCTGAAGAGCACCCAATGAGTGTGCCACCTCTATGTAGAGGAAACACACCTGTGGGAGACCACACCACATCTGAATCAGGTATACTCTTCATCCAAGAAGAGCCTACTGGTGTTGTGTTGCAATCAAAGAGTGGAACAAGCGATCCACCCCAAATCCAAAAGGAAGAAGAATGTGTATAGAGTGGCTAGGGAGCATTGGACCATAATCGGAAGGTCAACTCCAGTCCAGACCAGTGGCACCGGGAGGAACTCCACTGGCCCCTGGCAGGAGGAGGATCCTCAACCATTTTCCTCAGAATTGCTCATAGATTGAGAGATCCCTCAGTCCTCATAAAAGAAGCCATCTCCTGATGAACTACAGTCAACACATCCTCCACCAATAGTGCCACACCTACTGCCATTGTCACAGGCTGTTGAACACTGGTATCATAGGTAACCATTGTAGTCGTAATAGTAAGTTGTGAATCAAAAATATTGACTGACTA